GAGTTTGTTCGACCCGGGCTGGAGAGAAGAGTTCGGACCCTGGCGAGAAGAAGTTCGTCGGACTCTGGCAGGCAGAGTTAGTTCAGCCCCGGACGGCAGAGATGAGTGCCCAGTAGTTCAAGCCGCCTCAAGATAGCTGACCAAGATTCACGCACAATTTTGGACTCTTCTTCAACCAAGAACAATTAGTTTGAAGAGCGACTTAGAACCAGACCACAGAAATAAGTTTTTCGACTTTCGTCCAAAGACACACCGAAACACAAATTTCTTCGAGAGCAGACAACTTGAAGCCTTAGAGTTGCCTAGTAAAAGCGTCGTGCCACAATCCACAGAACGGGTCGGGAAGTAGACATAGTCCTATGTACCGAGCAATTAGACATAAAAAGTTTGTTACCTTTTTCTTGATACGTTGGACCTTGTGAGTTTTATTTTATTTTATTTTATACATAATTGTGTGTTATCACCCCCGCTAGACTCAACTTGCATTACGGCCCCAACCCCTGTTTGATCTCGTCTGTCTAAGATCAATTCACAACGTGGGTAGGCAGACTGGAGATCAGTGCAGTTACCCTGGTAACCAGGCGTTGGAAGCGGGTTGGGAACGGCGAGGCTGGTATCAATCTAACCAAAGGGTTAGAACGTCACAATTAGCGCCGCGACCGGGATCGAACGACACAGTCGACGCTGCGACCGGGGGACGACGTCACACCACAAACACAAGTTACGTATGGAAAATATTTTAGCAGAAATAAATGGTTGAAGAAGAGTCCAGATGTGTGCGTGAATCTTGGTCAGCTATCTTGACGCTGTTTCAACACTGGGCGCTCATCTCTGCGTCCACGGCTGAACACTTTCGCCGTCCGCGGCTCAACTCAAACTGATTTCTGTCGGTTGGGGTTTCGCTTTTATTGACGCAGTCAAAACTGGGGTGGGTCTGTCGGCGCCAGGGGTTTCTTCGATAATTCTAAATACGTATCCACCCTTCTTATTTCTGGTTAGGGATTTTCCATTTTCGGTAACTCACTCTCACTCCCACTTCCTTACTGTGCCTCTGAGGGGCGTATACCCGCTTCCCCGCTTCTTCGTATCGGCTCCTTACACTTACACTTCTGACAGGGGCGTCGACCGATTCTCCTCGTGCGTCACGTGACCGCTCTCGGCCAATGAGGTCCTGGTCGGGTATCTTTCCTCCTCCTTCGTGTGTCATGTGATCTTATTTAGCCAATGACGTCTTTAGTCGGGCGTGGACAATCCGTGGCTTTGTTTTGGGAAAGAAACACCTTGCTTAACAAACAAAAATATTAATTTAAATCGCCCTTATCATGAGCGACTGAGATGACACCTTCGGCTGTTTAACACGTGGTATTTGTCAAGGAGTTTATCGCTAATTGGATATGGTCTAAGAAAGGGATTTCTCAGACCCGTTGGCGTTTTTGAACGAAATAAAAATATTTCATTTTCCTCCGCCCGAAGGTCCGATAATAAAAATCTTTATTATCTCAAAAAAAAAAAAAATTTTTCAGCGACATCATCTTGTGTGGCTTTTTCCAATTCTGGAGACTGTCTGGGTTTTCGTATTAATAGTTTGCCTTCATATCCTTAGATACACTTCCCCACCCACTTAGACCTTTACTAACATTCCAATGACACACTTTCCACTTGTTACTTATCAATATTTTCATTGTCCCTAAACTTCGTTTCTTCTTTTCTTTCTTTTCCCTTGGATGACAAACAAGTGATAACAACTTCCATTTTCCGCGGATCTCGGTCAGATGCTTAACCTGAATATTTTTCGACACCTGTTATCTGTCAGCCGTGCGAGTGTGTGCTCGCCTATGACCTGTTTTCGTATTATTTTTTCTTTCTTTCTTCTTCGTTTTCTCTTTCCTTCTTCCAGATCGCTTGAATGTAAAGAAAGAATTATTCTTAAAACCCAAAATATTTTCGGCCTTAAATAATTATTAAATGGTTGATAAACCGTAAAAAACAAATCATATATCTATGAATATTTCTTTCAAATCGTCAGGATGCATGGTGCCACAGTGGTGTAATTTTCTTACCAATGTTGACCCAATACACGACCGAAATGCCGCTTACTGTAGAGGGTTACTCAATGATATATGAATGTAACATAAAGAGGTAACACTTGATGTTTACGAGGTGATTTATACTCTATTCAAATGCTTTACTATTACAATTGTTATAGTTTGTTTTGTTTTATTTACCTCATTATGGTAACATATATTTAAATCCAGAGAAGCGTTTATTCAATAATATTCAAAGCAACAATTCATAGTCATAATACATGAGATTTGAACCAACATAAATCATATGTTGTAGATAAATGTTTAGAGCAATTGTTAAATATTTTCCAGACGCGCATGCGTGAAAAACCCTATTAGAGGAGGTAAACACTTTTCAACATTTAGACAGGCTTAAAAATAAAAATAAACGCAATTGACGAGTTCTCTTTTACTGTGGGCCGATATCTAGAGTGGACGATAAGGTTATTGCTCTGTAAAATAGACGCACATTGTTTGTACTATACAACGAATATACTCAGAAATTCACTAAAAGAGTAATTTCAACTTTTTCTTCTTTATTTACGAAAACTCTTAGAGATTCCTTGAAATTTGTTCTGTACGAAAGATGTCCCCGATAGAATAACTATTTCTATCTTGTACTGTTTCACAGATTTGTTTCTCTATTTTTTCAAAACTTGTCGTTTTTGTTCAACATACGACCGCCGAATTCACGACGTATTTCATAGTTTTCTTTTTTGACTTCAAACGTTATTTTTACTGGATATTCGTATTTGAGAATGCGCTCCATTTAACTGTGTTTATTTCGTCTGACAGCCTGCTTACTCAATAAAACTTAATAAAGAGAATATATCCTCAGGCGTGATTGGAATCAGTATCTCGCTTTGTCGGTATGAGAAATAGTGTATAAAATAAACGGAGCAACTTCTCAACTACGTGTATTCACTAAAAAAAAATTGTTTGAAGTAATATAGATATATATCGGATTAAAATAAATTCGTTAAATCTTTAGAAATAAATGAATTCTTATATTAATATTAATCTATTAAATTTATCACTGGACATAAAGGAAATACGGTAAAAAATAATATATCCTAAAATGAAATTACTATTTACAAAACATCTGTATAATTATTACTCTTGATTTAAGAAAAAAATCAAATAGAAAAACAGTGACCTTTTTTCATCAGGTCAACATGCTTGGACGCAAATGCTTTATTTCAATGGTTGCTGTGCGTTAATGTTACTTTGAAATGGTTGATCTTTATCGATGGCCTTCTTATCTATCTCTATTTGACTATCATCCGTTCCCCAACATGAAAAAGAAAAAAGAAAAGAAAAGAAAAAAAAAAACACTTGACTGATAAACAGTTTCAAAGTGATGATGATGTCATGTCTACTGTTGATGATTTTTTTTTTTTAAGCGAACAGGATGAAAGTGAAAGCTTACTCACTAATGGGATCAAAGCACTGTGTGAACCGCAACGGTTATTACGTTCAATATAAACCACATTTGGTCACATTCCATGAAAATATCTTGGTCAGACTGACAGCCTTTCAGTTGACACTTGTTCATTTTTGTGTAATTTCGGAAGAAATGACTTCTCATGAACTCGAAATATTCTTTCGTACAAAAAGTGTTTTAAACAATAAAATCCAGGGAAAAATATAACAACTTGCGATAAAGAAGACGAAGGAAATTTAAATAGAGTGTAAGGCTAGGAAAATTTCACAAATTGTCAAAGGGAGGTAACTGTGAACTACAAAGTGGCTACAAGACTCGAGAGAGAAACAATAATTATGAGAGATGTTAGTCTTGTGGGAAATGCGACGGAGTCGAAGGCAAGAGTATGATTTATATAGTGACTTGAGATAAACGTAACATATATTTTCCTCCGTAATTATACCTTCTATAACGCGTAATTCTATACATAAGTTTTCATATTATACAAATGCGTAAAGTTAATTATATTCTCTATAAAATTACTATTTTATAGATACATCTTTTTTTTATTACTTATTTTTTATTTTTTCTAAATTCTTTGTTTATATTAGTTTTATTTTATTTTCAGGTGTTTTCTTATTTAGAGATATTTTTTCCTCTTTTGAATTGTTTGTAATGTATGTATGTATTTTCGGTTTCTTTTGTCTTGCTTCTCGTTGTTTCATGTAGTTTCACGCAGATCACCACGCCTACTTCGTTTTCTGCTGTACCATTTTTTTTTTTTTAGCCAATTCTTCTTTCTTTCCTTTCTCGATTACAATGTTTTATGCTATTTTTTCGTGTGGGAAAGAAAGAACGTAAAGGCAAATGTGAACTGCGAGTGAGTAACGAATAGAGAAACACAAGAAAATCGAGAGCTGACGGCAAGTGAATGAGAAAACAGAGAGAGAGTAAAAGTAAGAGGTTGAGAGAATTTCAAAGAACACAAATGTGCCAAAGATGGAAAGGTCAAATTTAGTTAAAAAGCAGCATAAAACGAACCATTTTGAGATGAGAATGCCGACGAAATAAATAGTTGCATAGCTGCATAGCTTATTGAATATTAGTTATATATATATATATATATATATATATATATATATATATATATATATATATATATATAAACCTGATGATCCCATGTAGTGAAAGATAGGTAAGTAGTACCTGGATCATTAAGATTTATTTAATTTTCTTTTCCTCTACTTAATGTATGTAATGTATTGAGCACTCTTTGTTTTAACATATTACTCTTTTACTTATACTTATATTTTTCCCTTTGTACCAGAGATTTAAGGTACTGAATGATTTCCTTCGTCATGTTTGGAGGTTTCTGGTGCTTTCTTTTTACCCATTTTTCTTTGGATACCAATTTATTTGAAAATTGTGCTATGCAGGGTTTTTTACCTACACAGTTTAAATAGATTTACATTATACATATATATATATATATATATATATATATATATATATACAGAGAGAAAGAGATAGATAGATAGATAGATAGATAGATAGATAGATAGATAACCAACAAGGAAGTGGTTAAGTGGTTAGACGGTTTGCGTTCTGACCATGGGACTAACTAAGGTTCCAATCTCAACAATGTTGTTGTGCCAGGGAGGAGGTGAACAATCCCAGCTGGAAATGTACCTTAAAACCATGTATGAAAACCATAACATGGGTTGACGCAAGCCTTGTTTGTGAAATTGAGTCGACGGAACACTTGGTGGGGCGTCGATGACTGTGGTAGGACGAAATCCCATTTCATCTTGACCAAGTGTTTAAGGGTTCTAGCTTTGGTCAGGTTTTTGATCATGTTTGATAACACGCTCTTTCGCAGAAACTGTAACTAAAGTCTGCTCAGCTTAATTGCAGTATAAGCCACAGATTGGCTGTATAAGTGTTAAACAAAGTCGAATGTGCCTGAACGAGAATCTGCAATAGGGATTGATTAGCCCCTCTAGTAATCGGGTATATTCGAATACCAATAGCTATTATTATTATTATTATTATTATTATTATTATTATTATTTATAAAGGTATATACCTATAGATATATAAAGACATATATTTATATTTAAAAATACGTCTATGCTATATGCTATGTGACTTCCCTCTTTCTGTCATTATGTATGTTCACAACTTTCTGTCTTTTTCCGCTCAAAGAAATCCTCGACCCTTTAACATCCTCTTATATATATATATACCACTATGGCTGCAATCCGTTTATTACAATTTTCCAGTAGATTCCTTGTCGTTTTTCGTCTTCCTTTTGTACTGAAACTTTTAAACTCTCTTTGCCTTCTTTCCTTTATATGTTTAGCAAAGGTTTCATCTGTCTTTTTTGTTTAATGTTAGAAATTGTTTCGATTAATGTTCTTAAAAATTCCTCTTCTCCCGCCGATGCTATCCGTGGCATTCTCGAAATTCAACGGTTGAACGGCATCTGTGTCCGCTCGAAGCTTTTTATCATCTGTGAGGGGGAAATACATCACCTTAATATATGTTTCTTTGATTCTAAGGACAGTTTTTGTTCACTTCATACTTTGCTAAGTTTCTAGAAAGCATTTATCTTTATATTTACTGTCGTTTTGTAACATCAATGGTGAAAACAAAAAAGCTTTCAGCAAGAATAAACTGAGTATTTTGACAAAATGGAGTGTCTTTGAACATGGTATCTTGAAAAGATGGGGCGACTTTGAACATTGTGGAATGAACCTACAGAAGCACAAACAAAGAACGTACCAAATAACAGAAATCAAATCTTTTGAGGACTACCAACAGTAGCAACAATTAAAAATAGATAGCACATGTAAACTGGAGAAAAAATGATGAAATTATCAAGATGTTAACATTCTATTCCAGGTAAATATAAATCTCTGTTTACTTAAAACGAGTTTCAAGAGAATTATATTACATATTTCAAACGGAAACATTACTAGCTACTCAGTTAATGAATGCAAATCGTTCCTTGTAGGTAAACGGATAATAACCATTCCCCGTTTTTGTATTTCTGTCTCAAACTTATTTGCTACAATAAACTTCAAACAGATAATTTCCTTTTTATTTTATTTTATTTTAATTTTATCTGTTCTTAACCTGTTTGTAACTATTATGTTTTCTTTCCCATTTTCAGAAAAAAATATATGTATTGTTTCATCTTACTGGTAGTGTTTGGCTTTTTTTTTTACTTCCTTTGCTCGATTTAATAGTGTCATTTTTTTTCTCTCAACGTAAGCTCGTAGTGTAGCCGTTATCAGCGCGGAAACCAGCGAGCTGAGATCAATGCTAGCTGTAGGCCGTTGCGCTTCCTTTCGCACAGATTATCATGCGAAAAGCACGAATCCGTCCCTTCTCTCTCCCATGGCTTAAATAGCGCGACAATCAATATTATGTAGCCTTAGTTTGCAATCACACTAGAAGTATAAACTAATTTATAGCCTTCCATGTCTTTCTGATGTGACGTTCCTGGGAAAACCTTCCGTAATTAATTATTATTTCATGTACACAATATATTTAAATTTCATTAAATAACTCTTAGAGTTTGAGATGAGCAAACACAACCAAACAAGCAACTGTTTAATTTCGCTAATATTGGTCGAATCCCTTCTTGATTCGTCTAATTTTTTGCCAATGATTAAAATCCCTATTTGTTATTTATGTTTTGTTAGACATTTTTATTGCTTCCGTTAAGCGGATTGTACAATTACAAGAAATCGCAGAGAAGACTTTGAATTCCAGTCGAGTTAAATTACATTCACTTTAGCGCAAATATAAGTTGGAAAGATTTTAATCCATTTCTTCTCCCCTCAGCTATGGCTTAAATAGTAGAACATACTTCACTCTTCAGCTTTAATTACGAACACTAAATTCATAACTGTATCTATCCTGGCGAAGCATATACTATTCATCTAATGAAAGGTGTATGGACTTTATAATCAATCACTCATCCCAACAACGGTTATTCAGAAAAATTGCCTTTTCCTGTTTTATATTTTTTTTAATTCCCGCATGTGCTAAGTTCGCGTCTGCAGATGAGAATACTATATTGCCTGAAATAATCAATGGATTCTGGTCTAGGAGCGCTTGTTGCAAGTGTTTCTCCTAACTAGGCGTAGATTAATTTCCAAGAAACGTGACACCCTTCAATCGCCAATTAATATGTGTAATTTGTGCATATAAAGATTGTTATTAAGACATATAATCAGGTGGTTACACGTCTACTTCTCTATGGTACATTCAATTTACAGACAACGACAAGTTAGTTGGCAATTAATAATACTGTTTCTTCATTAATATTATATGTTCATTCACCCTTTGATCAACCTTCATATTTTGACATGTGCTCCCCTTTATGTCCAATCCGAGAAAAACTAGAACGTCCATACATTGGCTTCATTGCTTGAAAGAAGTTTTGATTATTTTCCAGCTTACAACGGCTGCTAGAGGTATTCCCATATCGGTTGCTAGAGATAGGTGGATTAATCTGAAAGGTAGCACGACTGGATATATAAAGTGGTGTGCGGTGTGGTGTGAGCTTGTACAACTTCACCATCCGGGTCAAATATTGACGTGTCTTCGCCCATCGAGGCGGGATTTTGGTATTAACATCTCAAGGTCATAGAAATCCTCTTGGACATTTTCTTTTTCCCAAGACAGATGGTTGAGTTTTCTGCATAGATCTGCTGCTCCTTCGAGGTATTCCGATTATGACTGACCAGGCCAGAACAACATTTCGTGTCTTGGCTTATTGCAAGAACTTATAGATTTACTTTACTTTATATTTGAGTTAGGTTACACACTATGAGGTGGTATGAAAATGGATATTGTGTAAGGAAATTGTTTTAACAAAAGAAAGCCTATAGATACTAGCGATGACCAGCCTTCTTCAAATATCGTTGACTGGCATTAGTTAATTGCAAACAAATAACAGAAATTACTTCACTTGTCGAGATTCAATAGCAGTAAAAAATGAAATGGATAGCAATTATGAATTGACGATAAAATGTTGATATAATCAGGATGGTAACGTTCGACACTATTTCAAGAAAATTTAACGAAGAAAGCCGCCAACTATAATGAAAAGAGGGATAACACTTATTGGATAGGAAACCACAATGTCTTGTAAAAATGCTTAAATCTTAATATTGTTTAAATTATAGTACTATAAATATGCAGTTATGCTATTAAAAGCTACAGTAATATATAGCATTAGCAGCCTAATCAATGAATGCCGAATGTATCCTTACAGAAAAAAAAACTACCATCACCATGGCTAGACATATATATGCATAAAGTCATCCAGAGACAGATGGTTTCGCAGCTCTTCAGTGTGGCTAGACATCCGGTTGCTTCTAGCTTGCATCGAAACCCGACTGAATTGGTGTCAATGGGAGATTCTACCACTAAGCCGTCGGCGCACGGCAAGGATGTAGGTGAATTTTAGCGTATTTATTTTTAGATAAACACACACAGTGACAGTGGCGAAGAGTCTCGCAATATCAGCCATAATAGTCACTGCTTACAAACCCACACCTCTTCCCCAGAGAGCTCAACTGAAATTAATTTTTCAGGAGCCAATATATATATATATATATATATATATATATGATAAAATAAAGAGAAAGAATAGTAAGATTTATAATCCTATGTGATTATAGATTATTTATTTTTAAAAAAAGGGGTACCACCCTTTGTCAAAATGATTGAAATTCCCCGTATCCTTAGTAGCTAATATAAATTTCAAAATATGTTATAACAAAATTCGCTTGAAATTTGAATAGTACTAGGGATATTAATTTAATTAAATTTGAAGTTTTATTTTGTTTCTGTTTAAGAAACATGGTAATTCCTGTGTAACGACGGAACCATGTTTTTAAATTAGTAAATTTAGAGGAGTTACAGTTTTAAATATTTTTTATTTCATTAAAAATAATTATAACATAATTATGGCCCGTGGTGTGTCATCAAATTCTCATACACACACTAGCACACACACTCAAATTTGCTCATATATACATAAGCATATATACGTATGTATTTATTGAAGCGTACACGGGTGGTGAGGCACTTAATCTTCTGTTCATAAGACACAGGTTCGAATATTACTATGATTGATTGTGATTTAGTGACAACTTCAGCCTGGGAAGACAATAGCAATATGAATAGTGAGAAATATTCTGACCCTAAATATGAAGTCAACACTCAGAGGCGACACGCTATTTCATGCTGTATGCAATCGTCAGGCCTGACGATTGCATCCGGCTTGAATGGAGCACACTGCGGCGTCTGAGTGATGTCTTCAATATTGGCTTCTATATTTATACTTGCATGCGCTCTATCTTTGATATTGAGCACTTTATTCCATAAATATAGCACACATTAAAACTATATATATATATATATATATATATATATATATATATATATATAGATAGATAGATAGATACATACATACATAAATAAATATATCTTCCCCACAAAAAATAACCTAAACGCAAGAACAATTACTTTGTTTTTGTTGTTCAATGAAGACATTTGAGTTTAAAAATGAACATGAAACAGGAGTTCAGAATGTC